ACGCCACATTGGCTTCTCAATCCCTCCAACTACAAGTTGTTCCCGCCACAGATGGCACACAGCTTCGCATAATCTCCATTTAGGCTCTCTTACGACCGATATTTAGAGGCAACTGCACACGTGTTAAGATAAACACAATAGCATTGCAATGTTCGATCAGAGCACTACAATCACCATAACCTCTCAGTGATAATATTCAATAGATTAAAACCTACTTCTTGTTACAGTAAATCATAATCTCACCAGTGACATGCAGAGAATAAGAAATTGATTATCCTCTAATTATCCAATGAATAGATATATCAACACCAACATTATTAAGAAATATAAAGATCATTTGTAAGTTAACTAAGGTTAATAATTCCCATTGGAAATATAGTAAAATAAATGAATCAAACAGCAATAATAAAGATATGTGTTAATTATTGAATCGATGCATTAACCCTTTACTTGCCCGGCAACCCCACACAACATCTAGTGGGTTTTTTGTTCTAAGTTGATTTTTGCACGTTTGGCTCACGAGTCAAATTGTGGAATTATTTTCCGAACAAAAAGTCAATATATATTGATTAATATTCCAAATGAAAATTTCTGAACCATTTATCCGTAAACTATTATATTTTTTAAATAACTTAATTTAGCATTCAAAATACAAAACTACTTTATTTTATGGGTGAGAACAATCAAATTACATTTTTTATATATAGTTATATAGCACTGAATATTAATAAATGTTTCAATATATAAATGTTTCGTATTTGTTGAAAAGTTGTGTATAAAATTCACACTTTTGTAACCGTTAAGTTCATTAAAAGTATTTATTTAATTGTATTTATTAAAAGCAATAATTACTTTGTTCAAGGTAATAGCAATATATTTCAGGTCATGCCAAATTATAAGATAGTGTGCTTTTAACGCTCTTGTCATTTACACATTATACATGTTGTTCAGAATTGAAGCATTTTCCAAGAATTTAGGTTCTCGGAAATGTATAAGGCTTCTAGCTTTCTAGTTTTGTAAACATGTTACTCCGAGAATTCTCGAATATTCTAAAGCTTGACTTTCAAGCTTCCAATAATGTTTATCTGGTATCCACATAGCAACGTCGGCTGGAATTCTCCTACCTTCTAAAGCTATGCTTTCCTGAAATCTCGAAACTTCGAAAGCATTAGACTCGGACGTTCTGCAATGATTCCGACATACGAACACCTATGCATTGTTGCCTGCTAAGTAAGCTGCCACGTGGATATTTAAAGGTCGCACACGACGAGACGGAGCTTATAGTTACTGTTCGAGAATGTGAGAACATTTTTTCCTTTTTTCTCAGTGCAATAAAACATCTGGCAAGTAATATCGTAAAATTTGTAATTGGATTTCAAAACTTCGCTTGCTCCAAATTATCAAGCACTAGTGTCATAAAAAATCTGGAAAAACAATACCATAAACACGAAAAAACCTATAGTTTTGACATCTGCATTTTCGTTCTGCTCGGCAACTACATTAAGCATTACTGTGAGCGGACCCTCCTTCCCCTTCCCGCTGTCAAGAAGTTGCAATGTTGTCACCAGATGTGTCAGCGAACTCCTCCTCGCCGCGGCCTACATGCTGTCGCTAGCGGCAGCGGCAATAAGATATCTGCGCATTATGAAGACCCAGAGACGACTAGGCCCTTAATTAACTCCGAACCCAAAAGAGGCGCTGCCCTCGCACTATAAGGAAGGAGTCTCTGATTGGACAGACAATAAGGGAAGGGGTTCAAGTAAAATTCATGGTCAGAAATTGTATTTAAGGGGCGCAATTTTCAATACTCATTTACTCTCGATACTTAACTCTCTTAACCCTTATCACTCGTGATATTTAACTGTCGTGATATTACTCGTTTCGAAGTGTCTCAGTTTTTTTTGATATCTCTCTTTAGTAATACTCTCTCAATATAGTAAACCCTTGAGACATTTCATCGACTTATATTTCTTCGGATTGTCCATTAACACTGTTGCTGGAACAATAGTTACCGCTTCGGAAGAACCACGACATAAACCCGCATGTTCAATAACGCAGTACAAGAAACTGTAGTTACCTGTTCCAAGGGAGCCACGACAATCCGCCTATCACAGTCTGAAGACGAGTCAACGATTAGTCTTTGCAAGTAGTATCTACTACAATAATTATATATATTGAGATTCAGAGTATTACATCGACAAGCACTAAGAACGAGGAAGCTACTCTTAAAACGACAGTACGGAATAAATTCCAGTACGCGTCGTCAAGTTTCGTGCCCCGACAAGCACTAAGGACGAAGAAGTTATTTTTAAAACGACAGTGCGGAATAAATTCCAGTACGCGTCGTCAAGTTTCGCACCCGCCAAGAGCATCCCACTTCGTAACCCTCACCTTACTTCAAGTTCGAAAGGTTACGAAAGAAAGCAAAACCCAACGCAAGTGCAGACAATCCAGTTTCGCGCCACTTGCGATATCTTTTAATCATAAACCCGCATTCATAACCTCAACCATATTCATTCAAAAGGCGCTAGTCTCGATGAACGAAACTTCGCACCATTCGCCATTGATATTCAATAATCAAGCTGCATAGATTATTGTACAGTTGTCTCCGCAACACATCACTTCAATCAAGAATTTAGTTCTACAAGTAATAATAGTAATACTAGTCAAATTTGTCATTAATAAATAACAGAATAAAAAGCATATACTTCAGCCATATTTATATTGTATTATTATAATATCTCTTCCACTTGTAACCTTTTATCGCTATCACACAACACCCGTGGTCTCTGAGTTGTCAACGGCATCAATTTGTATCCTTCGAACCGGTCTTAGTAAAATAAGCCGGAACGGCGAATACATTTCGTACAATTGTGTATATGATAGATTGCCTGAATTTTTCATATCTAGTGAAAAATGTAATTTTTAACCAATTATGTGAGGCTATTAAAAATGTCATAAAATATTTAAAAAATATTAAAAAAAAGTCATAAAAATTTGAGTTTCCTGTACATTTTGACTGATATAATATTCATACATACTTTATATCTATGGTGCTAAAATAATTAAAAATCATTTGATAGGATAATATATTTATATAATATAGTTTAAAGGATAATATGGTTTAGAATAAGCAATAAAGCAAACAGTAGATTACATCTGAATCAAAATCAGGTATAAGCGAATTTAAAATTTTGTTCATACAAACAATATAAAGTCAAATTTGTATAGAAGAATTAACTTAATTAACACTCTTAATTTGGTGGTAGTGCTGTGAAGTTTGAGTACACCGTGGTGTGCTGTTGCTTGTTGTGATGCGTCAGAGAAACCATGAAGCTATAGATGTGACGAACCTGTAATTTTAAACCAACGTGGAAATCTTATTTTGATAGTTCGGCAAGATCCTGTCTAATAGTAAGCCATTGAGAGGACAAGTGTGACGGTAGCGTCTCGTCCCAATGTAGTTATTTAAGCCAGAGCTCCTGCATGAAGATTTTTGCCTTGATCACGACTGGTGAGACAAAACCCAATGGATCAAATAACTTTGCTACCTCAGATAGAATAATTACTTTGTAAATTTACTGTTTTGTTTCGACATCTGTATTGTCGTGAACGAGAACGTGTCGTTACGAAGAGACCATATCAAGCCAAGAATCTTCGTAGCGCAATTGTCGAATGAAACCGATCGTGGTTGATTGTAGTCAGCGTTACAGCTGTCATAACATCCTTATGAGTTGCGTGCCATTTTGCCAGTAGAAATCCGCCCGCCATGCAGAGATCTTTCAACTGGAGTGCGACTCTGATCAATTGTTCTGGTGTGAAAGAGATCGACTTTCAGTTACCATTGAATACCACTCTTAATTTGGTTGTAGTGCTGTGAAGTTTGAGTACACCGTGGTGTGGCAGATAGTATTGGACTTGATGACTGGGAATTTGAGGAGCTTGTCTACTGTGGTCAAGATTCTTATATTCTATCATGAATTGTTGGTATTGTTGTAGATAATTTTCTGCCTTTGAGAATTTTCTCACCAGACTCTGTAAAATGCGACGCACGGTTCCGTACGTGTCTCCGAGACCAACAGCGGGGGCAGTGAACGGGATGCATACTATATATCTTCCACTCGATGTGCGTGAGTAATTGTTCTTGTAATATTCCTGACACTCTTGCTCTTCTGGCGTGAGCTTGGGATTTTCGCTTGAGTGTACTACTTCTAGAACCCAAAATTTTGTGAGTAGCTCGTGCAGTATTTTCTCATCATCATGCCAGGATACATGAAATGCTGTGACCATGGAGTATCGATCGGACGTTACTGATCCCAGCACAAGCCATCCAAAAAATGGACAATTCAGCCATCAGTACATTCGGAGAATCGGTGATGACTTGAGGCTTGATTATTTTTAAATACATATCTGCTCCCAGAATGATGTCCACTGCTCGAGGTACAAAATACTGGGGGTCTGCTAAAGGTATATCTTTCAGATGTTGCCAATCATGCACCGCTGGTACGGAGGAAGGTATCACATTGGTCAGTGACTTGAGGATGTGAGCCTGTATTGTAATAATAGAGTTAGAATGTATCGAATAAAGTGTTAATGACACGACACCTTGAGTATTGGTCATGTGAATTCCCCCAATTCCATACACGTGGATGGTAGAGTCCTTCTTCGGAATATGTAGATTTCGAACGTGGCTTCGGACTACGAACGAGAGTTCCGAGCCTGTATCAATCAGCAGTCGAGCTTGTCGAGTTATGTTATCTCATCGCAATTCTGCAATGGCGATGGCAAGTTATACTCTTTTCGCAAGAAGGTTCGTTTGTTTTTTTCGGCATTTTGTGCATTTTGAGCTTGAACCGCAAAGGTTGACGTCGTGTTGATTTAAGCAGTGCACGCAGAATCCTCTTTCTGCTACAATTTTTCGTCTATCTGAGTCGGATTTACTCCTGGGCGTCACTCACACAGCAGTAAAACACCTTGCCTGCATTTTACAAGGTACATCTTTTTATATTAATTAATCAGTTAGTCACACCTTGCACACAACAAGTCGGGCAAACTTACTCTTCCGAAGAACACTTCGGAACCGTACAGGCCCATAAGTGTCGATTGGGCAAACTTACGCTCTTTCGAAGAACACTACGGAACCATTCAGGTTCGCTAGCAGATATAGGGCAAGCTTACGCTCTTTCGAAGAACACTTCGGAACTATTTAGGCTCGCTAGCAGAGTAAAAGCAAGCTTACGCTCTTTCGAAGAACACTTCGGCATCATTCCGGCTCTCTAGCAGAAATAGGGCTCACTTATGCTCTCTGGAATTAATATTTCGACATCGTACAGGTCCTCAACAGCTGACATAAGTGGCGCTATGCTTTAAGCACGTTGTCAAAGAAGGACAACAACAGATCGACTAATAGACTATAAATACAGATTATTAAATCCGTCAAGAGCTAGAAATCCTACCATTAACCACTCTTACCTGTGACTAGATTCTTCTACTGTCCCCATAAATAATTAAAGACACAATTGAGTACTTACTAAATTCCATTAAACATCTTATACCATATCAAGAATAGTTATTCATGTATCAAGCATACTTGATTCAAACACCATCTTGTCATGCTACCTCACAAGCATGATTGATTGACTACACCAGCTTATATTTACAACATCAGCATTACCTCAGCTTCAAGATACTCAGTCATATACATAGAATCTACAATAATCAAGAATACAAGAACACACCCTCATTACTTCAATACAATTATCTCTCTCTCTCTGCATAACAGTGCAATATTATTATAATCATTTACAAATAATAAACATTGTTTTACTAAATACATGATATTTTTCAGCCTTATCACTTATTATTTCGTTTGAAGTTATCCTGCCGAGATACTAATCCACTGAACTATTGATTTGGTAGTTCGAGCCATAAACTAAACCTTTAAAATCTAACAAAGGTTTTAACAGAGGTTTCTTTATACATAATTGGTAACAATTGGAGGACCTCCCTTTTTATTAAGGATGTTGATCATATTGATCAAGAATACATCGGTGCTGATTTCAGTGAGCATGTAACAGGTTGATTCACCTTTTCACCTTGTCGTAGTGACCTCACCCTGGTTTTGAGGAACTTTCTTAATTGATCTAATCGTGGACAGGTAGTAGATGTTCCGAATGAAGCTTCCCATAGCTCCACGTTGGCGCGGTCAAAGTAGAGTGAGATCTGATGAACCAATATGTAATTCCATAAGTCTGGCGGTACATTCAAGGAGAGGAGGTGCTTAATTTCCTCTTATGATCTTTTGGCCAGGTTCTCTAAAGTGTCTCCGTCATCCTTTATCGGTTTTACTGGAGGGAATAGTTTAAGAAGGCCAGAACGGGTTGGAAAACGTTGGTTTTTGTACTGCTGATTAAGTAGCTCACATGCTGGTGATAGTGATTCGTTGGTTAGTTGAAGCCCCTTTATTAATGGCAAGGTTGACTCGTCTAATGAGGCGTAGAGGTAATGCAACTTTTCCACCTGAGAGATGTCTTTGTTGTTCACGACGAATGCAGTGAAGAGATCGCTAAATGCATCCTAAACTTCTTGTTTTCCGGAAAATTTAGAGAGTTTAAGCGCTGATAGATAGCACTGATTAAGGCTTCCGGTTGTTTTTATTAAAGGTGCTGAGGCCTGGTGCTCGTTGCATCCGACCATGTATCGTTGGCGAAGCGTGCTGATACCTCGAGTGGTAGTGTATTGAACGGTTTCTCTTTTAAAGGTATCTGAGGAAAGATATTCGTGATATTCTTGACTGGCCAGATAATCTCTAAATACGCGTGTTCTTTGGCAAAGGCTTTGTTCATTTCCTCTGCTACTGAGTAGGACTCCGAGAATTCCTCTACTGTGACGTTGGGTCCCGGTGTAGCATTTTGTTCAGCGAGGGTCTGTAATAGATCAATGCGCTTAAACTGTGTTTTTATTTTCATTGAAAATTCATTGCTTATTTGTGGGGATGTAGCGATACGAAGATTTCTAGCTCTCGTTAATTTGGTGGCCTTGGGTGTCTTGGTGCCCTTGACATCCATTGTGACCCCTTTTGTTATTAGTATTAATATTATTTAATAGTTATGAACTGAAGGAGAGGGAGTCGCGGATTTCTCGTATGAGATTGAACGGTTAGCGTTTCGTAAGATAATACCACGTGTTATGTTAATGTATTGTTTTCCTCTGTATCTAGCAGATCCGGTGTTTGCAGGATCGCCGCTGTTTGAATGTGCGTGTTGAGTCGCTGCTGTGTGTGATGAGCCGCCACTGTGCGTAATGAGCCGCCGTTGTGCGTAATGTCTGGCAGATCTGATGTTTGCAGGTAATGCTTGATTCCTTGAATCTGCTATCTGGCGCTGAGATAATCCGGCTCGAAAGACCAAATATTGGAAAATTAATGTTTCATTTTATGGCTCTAACTGTCATTTCAATAGTTCAAAGAAAGCACAAATGGAAAGGCTGAAAAATATAATATAATATATTTGAGTTCACTTATTATTTAGTCCGCTTATGAATTATAATATTGTATCGTTGTTGGTTGCATTTATTGAGATAGAGAATTATTCTATGGTAGTGATGCGAGTTCTTTCTTGTGTTCTTGATTGTCGGAGATTTCAATTGAAGTTTGTATTGGCGCAAGTAACACTGATGTGAGATGCACTAACTAATAATAACAATTAATTTACGAGGTGTAGAATTACAATGAGCACTAAACTAAATTGATAGTAATGTAAACCGTGAGCGAGATGTGTAATGACTGAATGGATGTTAAACGTACAATGGCGCGGTACGTGGAGCGCTGCTCTTAAATATTCGCGGCATAGTTTGCGATGCCGACAACAGCGCCATAGCCTGTTACTATGCCGAAAACCGTTAAGATGTTGCTATGCGGAAGTATTGTCGTATATTAGATGCTATGGAGTTAGAAGAATTCCTGGAATCGCTCCCAATTTTAAATTTGAATTAAAAAACTGCCGCAATCCCGAACAAATTCAGTTTATATTGAATTATTTATGTAGTTATAATGCTGTCTTTAGATTATTTTTGGTACAAATAAATATATAAATTGCCATTATATATCGAATTTTTACATATATATTCCTACTTAATCCGATAATTGATTATTATTATACGTTTTTACGCATATGTGTAGAATATTTATTTATTACTGTAATAAGCTAAAATAATATGTACTAAGATAATTGTTTTATTCAAAGTAAAACATTTAGTTACTATTTAAAACATTTTCATTAATTTTTGCAAATTCATCAATTTGATTTCTATTAATTTAAACTTAACAATATCACCATAAAATAATTACGACGTTTTAAATTGAAAGATTATACTTATAATACAAGGATATAATTAGTGTAAATCTTAATAAAAAATTGTTTATAAATAGTTTCAAATTTTTTTAACTACTTAAAATATTATGGACAATATAATATCAATCTTTATATCATGCTAGATTAATAAATAATGATGTGCCACATTACATATTGTACATTAAATGTCACAGAATTACAAGTATTATAACCACTTTTTGTTTTTCTTTGCAATAAATCTTTTATAATATTATATCCACTGTCCAATACCTCCAAAAACTCGAATAAATAGGAAAACAGTTTCCTCTTGATACATTCAGTTCTGAAAAGTAAAAATATACAAGATTTACTGCCAGTATTAGTAGAAACGGGGGAAGCTCAACTGCTACAAAGTTAATTCAAGCAATTAATAAATTTTATCTACTTTTCCTCGACAATTAATAATATTAGACATTATAATTTCTTTAATTGAATATTTGAAATATTTAAAAACCTCATATTTATTTTAGTTTTAGAAAAAATGTTTAAGAAATCAACTAGTAATTTGTTATAAATAAAAAATATTTTAGTATTAATACGTAGATACAGTATATTAATTTGGAAAATAAATTTATTTAGAAAAAATAAAATGTAGGTTACTAAACAATGGAAAAGAAACTAATAATTTTTTATCGATATAAACTTAACAAATTTTAATATGAAACTAATTCTGTAGCAACATATAGAAGTATACCAATAAAAAGAACATGTCTAAATAAGTACAAAATCAAAATTTTAAACATAAAATAATTTATGAATTATTGTATGAAAATTATCACTGTTATTTAATAAACACATAAATAAATATAAAATATCTCTTAGATATTTATGTGCAATAAAATATATATTTTAGATAAATGTATAATAACTTTATATTTATATTTATATTTATATTTATTTTAATAAATATAATAACCAAACGATAAATAAATTTATACTTCATTAATTTAAATACAATTTTACAAATACAATCAAAAGATTCGGTTAAATTGCAAATAAATTCTTTTTCAAATAAATAAATATTTATTTAAACATTATAAATTTAATAAAATATACATTTTGATATTATATAATAAAAATTTTTATATTATTTAATTAATATACATTCATATAAAAGTATTTGAATTTCTAAAAAAAGTCATATGCGTACTATTATCAACGACACAATTATATAAATGATTTCATTTTAAGTGGAATGTTTAAAAACTTTTTAAAACAAGAATAATTATTTGAATAATATAATTGTTAATACTTTAAAGAAATTATTTTAATTTTATTCTACAATATATTATCCAGTAAATTACCTTTAGAGTGCTCGTTTTAGGAAACCAGCAAACATTGCATTTTTGAAAAATATTTGTAATCTTTATTATAATTGTTGTACATTCTTCATTATATTTCCTTGTAATAGTACAATATAAGTATTTAGTTGTTCTGCCAACCAAATTTTTAATTTTTTTTCTTTTTTATTGCTACAATATAAGGTGGACCTCCACACATGCCCCTGCACATTAAAAATAGTAACGACTATATGATTTTATACTGATTGCAAGGAATCGATATAAAATGAAATATGTAATATATAGGGATTTACTTTATTACCTTAATAAATAGTTTCTTATTTTTATAATAGAATAATAATATAATAAGATAAATTAAATTAAACAATAAATATTTGTAGGCAATGATTATAAGTATTTCATA